CCAAAAGACTCCAGTTGGAGTTTTTTAAAAGACTTTAGGCATATGAATCTTTCTCCAAGTTAGTAGAAAACTTTTCAAGCACTATGAAACAGTTTTTTTTCTTCATTTGTTCATGAAAGTCATTTCTCTGTTTCACACAAGGTATCTAGAGTCATGCAATTTTTATCTAGTTGAGTTGGTGTTTATTATTTGGGTTCGTTACATTTACCTTTCTCAGGTTCTGTCAGTTTCGCAAATCCTTTGGCCATTTTTTCGGCCGAATCCCCCACACCTGTTTCAAATAAATCATTTGAAAGATTATACATAAATTATCGAATTCCAAATATTCCTAAAAAGGCAGTTATGAACTCCTAGTACAAAAAAGAATTTTTTTTTACATGTTTCAACATATAAAATCTTTGTTGTAGGTAAGAGTTGTAGGTGTTTGGTTTTAATGATGTCTGGTATAAATCTTGCAGGAGTTGGTGCAACCTCAAATGCAATAAGGAAAAACAGAGTTCTGGGTTTAAGCTCAGTGAAGAGGACATGGAACTGATCTATAACTTTATTGTTGACTTTTACCCTTCATGTATGTGGAACTTTTTGTTGACTTTTTTCCATATGTATTCTCTCAATTTTGTTCTTTTCGTGAGGTGTTCAAATAGTAAGATTGTTTATTTTGTGATCTTTGAGTCTCTGACTAGCATTTCTTCTCTTTTAATGGGATGTGAATACTTTATGAATGCACATATTTAGATGTGCATTTTAAAAAATGTGTACATCTCCCTATTGACTTCTTAACAAGACACACAATGAGTCAATACACTGACAGATACCCTCTATGAACCCTAAGGCAAAGGCTATAAATATGTGTGAGAACAAGAAAAATGGGCATATAAAAAAACAGAAAATTATTCTAGAGTACCCTTGATTTTTCTGTAATAGCTCTCGGGTTTCATATTATCAGAAATATACTCTTTAGTATTCTTGATTTTTTGATAAAATCTCTCAAGTTCTATATTATTCGAAATATACTCTGTGTGGATCCTTAAAATTTTTGGTAATGTACTGTGAGGGTACATTTTGTCTATTTAGCCGTTAGGAATGGAAGTTCTTGTTACTCTGATAAATACTACTACCTCCGTTCCAGAGTATTTATCCAGTTTTGACTTTTTCCAGTCAACCATTTTCGATTGAAAAATCTTATATAATAAACCTAATAAAACTATTTTTGTATTAATATCTAATATCATTTTTATTTAACTTAGTGTTGAAGTTTATTAATTTTGACCGAAAAAATCAAAAGTAGACAAATATTCCAGGACGGAAGGAGTAAATTTTACCTTTATAATCATTATTTTATTATATTTAAATAAAATCCTTCAATTTGTCAAAGTTCGAAACTTTCAATCATAACATCGAATTGGACCGAATGAGTATAATATCACAAATTTTAAAGATCCTAAAGTATATATTTTGAATAATGTGGGACTCGAAAGTTTCTACCAAAAAAATTGAAGGCACTTCGGGGTATATTTCAGATAATGTGAGACTTAAGAGTTATTATCAGGTGTAAATTTTAGTAATGGTATCTGAACTTTCAATGAAATTTCGAATTGGTACCTAAACTTCAAATCCTTTCACAAAAATCCTTGAACTTACATAATCCTTTCACTAAAAGTCCATTTACACGTTTCCAGGTTAACTTCCAGTCATTTGGGCCAAATTAGAATTTTATATATTTTAAAATTTTCAATTTGACCCCATTTCTTTTTTTCTTTTCTTCCGCTCCCACTCCTGCACACCGCCGCCGTCATCCTCTCCCCGCCGTCGTCGCACCACGTCAAAGTCGGCGGAAAGTCAACCTGTTCAGATTCCGGCGGGACCAATGCCGTTCTCTTCGTCTTGGGATGAGGATCAAGAATATCCAAATCATTTTTCCAATTTGGACTGCAACTCCTTGAATTTGAATTTTTCCACTCGAAGAAACCCTAAAATCCAAAATTGAGGATTTTTGCCAATCGCTATCAAATCTTGCAATTGAGGGGTCCTTGGGGGTCGCCGAGATGCCAGGAACACTTTGGAGGGGATGCACGACGCCAATTTTGCCAGAGGTGACCGGAAAATGCTCCAACCCGTCGGAAAACGCCGCCTCCTGGAGGCTGGAATCCGACAGGTGCAGGGAGAGGATGACGGCGGCGGCGAAAAGGGGGCGGCAGCGGCGACATGTGAGGAGAAAAGGGGGCGACAGAGGTAGAGTCGTGGTGCGACGACGGCGGGGAGAGGATGTCGGCGGCGGTGTGCAGGAGTGGGAATGGAAGAAAAGAAAAAAAGAAATGGGGTCAAATTGAAAATTTTAAAATATATAAAATTCTAATTTGGCCCAAATGATTGGAAGTTAACTTGGAAACAGGTAAATGGACTTTTAATGAAAGGATTATGTAAGTTCAGAGATTTTTGTGAAATGATTTGAAGTTTAGGTACCACTTCGGAATTTCAGTGAAAGTTTAGGTACCATTACTGAAATTTACCTTATTATCAGAGGTATCCCAAAGTAACTTTTGGTATAAAAAATGTATTCTCTACCATTCACCAATCATTATGGGTCGAATCACATGCTAGTTCAATCCCAATATATTCTGGTTAAGATATATAACCAGAATGAATGACGGGATATCTTTGTTTGAGACTAGATTTGTACCCGTGCATTGCACGGGGAGAATTTTTTATTACATTTGTCATTTATTGAATAATGTTGGAAATTCCAAAGACAAAGATAAAACTTTTACAAAATCGATTATTGATAATTAGAAAATGGACTACATGATATAAAAACATCACAAATGACACGTGTATATGTCAAAAAAAATTGGCTGTTACAACATGTTTCAAATATTTTGGAACACTTCCTTTAATACAACAGTGGTAGTAAAATATTTTCCAGTATAAATACAGTATACAAATTATAATATGTACTAATTAATGAATATATGTATATCATTCAATACAGTATGTGTACATATTGTAATTAAAATACTTTCATTATTTTCTTTGTTGTTGTCGGTTATGTGACCGTTAGTTGAACGAAATACATTCGAGATGCCGAAGGAGTTAAGAAGTTGTCTCAATGTTGGCTTTGTTTTACCGACTTGAATTGCGACCAAAAGAACATTCAAAGATTAACGATAGACTATTGTACCAAAACTCCTCCAAACACAATATAGTAAGTCATAATTTTAACAGATATATAAGTGTCTAACCATCTGTTAAATAACTTAAAGAAGAATAGTCATAGTCTTGTTACTGTGTCCTGACTTGTTGTACAAATCTTTTTTAGATTTCTTCTTTCTTGGAAATACATTATAAACATATGAAGCATAAATTAAAATTGAGTCTACAAAGATTCCATATAATTAGAATTTATTGATGTCTTATTAATTTATAATAGCAAAAGGATATGTTGATTACCATTGTATCCCCTACTTGTTTTATGCAATTGGCAAAGTGGTTGGAAATCAACATCTTCGATTGGATTGTCTTGGGTAAATTTAGATTTTGTGAGATTTTACTTTGCAATGTAGTGAGCATTTTCTGTTTAAAAAATAATAATAACATGAGTAGTCTATATATAATATACATATATGTATATATTATTGAAAATTGTACAATCAATTGATTAAGTGAATATATCATACACCCTATATCTATAGATATTTGAAGTTAGAAATATATTAGACTAAGAATAGCTAAGAGCGTTGTTATTATCATTGACCTTAGATTAAAAATAATTTAAGAGCACTATCGAAATAATGAATAATGAATATCTGAATTGAATAACATGTATTGATATAAACTAAACAATATCAAAATCATGAATGATGAATAATTGAATTGAACATTATGTGCATGATATCAAATGATTTGATTACGAATCGAGATTCAATTTATATGGATGTTCGACGCATTAGATATTCTTACTCAGCTTCAACGCTAGGCGTGTAGTATGTTTTATTTGCTAAAGTAAATCAGAAAGAACAATATGACGTGATCCTAGAGGCAGACGGATGCGAGATTGTCGAAATGGATATGATGATTTTAAATTGAAGAACATAAATAAATTATGTTTGTGATTATGATTTGTTAAGCTTCCGCAATATTGAAAACTCCGTACTTTTATGTTATGAAAAAATTATTGTGATAAATAAAAGTGTTTGAAATGTTTTATATTTTACGATCACCAAGTTTATACTTTAGTTCGAAAGGGGCTGCAGACCTGGACGAATTAGGGTGTTACATTGTCACCCTGATGACTGCAAGGCCGAGTTAGGAGTCGTCTCCTCATTTTTCCAATCCAAAGTTGTTTTGTAGCATTGTGGGTGGTTTACACTATCTTGCAGTCACTTGTCTGGATATTTAATATGTCGTGAACCATGTCTTTCAAACCATGCATAGTCCCTCAGAAAAAGACTACTTAGCCTTGAAACATATCCTTTGCTATTTAAAGGGTACTCCCTCTCAAGGCCTTCTTTTTTTAAAAAAAGGCTCTCTTGATCTTGCAGTCTATTCAGACTCCGACTTGGTAAATGACAAGGATGAACATCGCTCTACCACTTGTTACCTTTTGATGCTTGGGCCGAATCTCATCTCCTGGTGTACAAAGAAGCAGACTAGTGTCTCGAGGTCATCTATTGAGGCTGAGTATCGCACTATGGCCGCAGGGGTGGCAGAGGCAATGTGGTTAGGTTATATCATGGATGCACTTCACATTCCTCCTTCACGACCAAGTATTTTCTGTGATAATGAGTCCACCATCTGCATCACGAAGAATACTGTTTTACATGATTGTTTGAAGCATATGGGCTCTGACTGTTTTTTCGTTCATGATGAAGTAATGGTTGGCACAATGACAACACATCATATTCCGTATTCTGAACAACCTGCGGACATTCTCACAAAACCGTTTCCGCCGACTCCGTTCCATTACTTATGTTCCAAGCCGCCCCTCGTATCCGCTGATCAGCTTGCGGGGGGATAATAGAAAAGATCCTAATAGTATTTTGTTTCCTTATTCTTGTATTACCATAATTACATTCCTACCTTATTTAGGATTATCTATGTTGTACTATAAATACTCCTTGAGGCTCCATTATTCAATGAGATCAATATTTTGTCAAATTGTATCACGAATTATGGAGCTCCCTGAGCAAAACACTACGGATGGTCTTACTAAATAAATTGTGGCTAGGGTAAGAAGAACACTAATCAATCTTTTTGATAGAATTTGATATTAATAAATCTAATTAAACAATAAAACATTCACTCATATATCTAGAGAGTATAGAAGGATTCTAAGCTAAAATAGGACTATGAAATAAAATAGGAAAGTTTAATACGGCAATAACATAATATGGACACTATAATGATATGGAAACTAATAATAATTTTTTATAATATTTCTAGCACTTTCGCGAGAATATCAGCTAGAAGGAGAGAAGTAAATCTTCATTGAATGGTGAACGAGCTTGAAAGTGCGTTGTTGAGTTTTGTTTTCCGGCGAAAGGTTTGGCTATTGGAGCGAAGACAAGAAGTTTTTTTCTCCATCTAGACCATTTTCTCTATTTCACTATCGCTTTTCATTCTCTCGAAGCGTAGAAGAAAAACAAA